TGATAGTGACAGTGACACTGCCCGGGACAGGGACACTGCCCTGACACTGCCCGTCACACTGCTGGTGACAGGGACACTGCCCGTGATAGTGACAGGGACACTGCCCCTTCTCCTGCCCCTGACAGAGACACTGTCCCTTCTGCCCCTGACACTGCCCCTTCTCCTGCCCCCGACACTGCTCCCTGCTCTCAGGTGTCAGCTGTGACTGTGTGAGTGGGGCTGGCCTTGCTGCTGCTACTGCCCATGACACTGCCACTGCCCCTTCTCCTGCCCCTGCCCATGATACTGCCACTGCCACTGCCACTGCCTGCTCCCTATTCCCTGCTTCCTGCTCCTTATTCCCTGCTTCCTGCTCCTTATTCCCTGCTTCCCATTCCCTGCCTGCCAAGTGTCAGCACAGGGGTCGTGTGAGCGCCGGGCTGCCCTCTGCCACTGCCTGCTCCCTATTCCCTGCCTGCTCCCTATTCCCTGCCTGTTCCCTGTTCCCTGCCTGCTCCCTGTTCCCTGCCTGCTCCCTGCCTGGGGGTGTCAGCCGGAGTGCCCATGTGGCATTGCCAGCACCGAGCTGCCCTCTGCCCACTGCTGCCCATTCCCTGCCTGCTCCTTGTCTGTTCCCTGTCTGCTCCCCTGCTCCCTGCCCTTCTCTGCCTGCTCCCTGCGCGTTCCCTCAGTTCTCCCTGCCCATTCCCTGCCTGCTCCCTGCTCCCTTCCCACTCCGTTCCCTGCCCGCCGCTCGCTCCGTGCCCACCTGGGATCCCGGGATGTCCCTCGGGCAGGACAGGAGCTGGTCCCTGCTGCCTGTGCTGGGTGCAGCCCCTGGCCCATGGGTGCTCTCAGGGGGTCTGAGCTGGTCCCTGCTGCCTGTGCTGGGTGCAGCCCCTGGCCCACGGGCGCTCGGTCTCGTTCCGCTGTCCGGTCGTGACGATGACGTGTCAGAGCTGCAGCTCTCGGTGCGGGGGACAGAACCGGCCTTCGGGGCTTTTCTCCTCGCTTCCTCCTCCCCTGTGAGGTGCTGGAGTGTTGGCAGCACTGTGAGTTGCTTGGGGCAGGGACCGCACCTGGAAATCGTGTCGTGGGAATAGTTAAAGAAATGAAAACGACTCTTACCCAAACTCAGCTTTTGTTGGCACAAGTGTGAGTTTGCCACGGGCTCTGTAACCTCACAGAGAGATGGAGACTGCCCTCGGTGATGGGTCTGTAAAGGTTTCCAAAGGAGAAACAGCATTAGAAAGCACGGACAGAAGGATTGGGAAGGACTGGTTAAGGATAAACGGGAGACTGAGGGCAGAGATCAGCTCCAGAGAGAGGATGGGGAAGTGGAGAACACTTTTCCCTCTTAACCATTCACTATACTATTTTTTCACCTCTCTTCTTAAAGTGACCAGCAATGAAGATGGCAGCTCTGCCGGGAAGTGCTGAGGACACAGCCAGCCTTGAGCTTGGTCCTTCTGGCCGAGGAAGCCTCCCGATTATGCAGTGGAGTGGTAACTTTGCTTTCTCATACAACAGGGACCATTATTCCATAGCCTGTCATCATTCTGAGGCTTACCCAAGTTTCAGGATGTGCTAGCAGGAGTGTTTAATCTCTGTTCCTTGCTGGCTGACATCTCCAGAGTCAGGGTTGGTTGTTTAGCAACAACCGCTGGGCTCAGCACCGGCTCGGGCACCGCGTGGCCGCCGTCCCCATCGCCAGGGCTGCAGCCTGGCCTCTGCAGGGGGCTCTGGGAGACAGGGAGAGAGGGAAGGGCTGGATTCACACCCTGGACGGAATTTTGGTGCTTTGGTGGCGAAGGCCGCAGGCGCTGCGGATTTTTCACGACTCCGTCCTTTGCGCAGGGCCGCCATTTCCACCGGCAGTGCGGTGCAGGGAAGAACCCAACAGACTGTACGTGCCACTCCCCACTTTCTTTCCCTCTTTCCCATCTCCATCTCTCCTCCTTCCCCTCCTTTGCTGCCAGATTCCATAGGGAATTTCAGCCTCTTACTGCAGTCATCACAACCCCTCCTGACTCACTGAGCCTCCGCTGGCTGTGGCTGGCTCCCTCGGAGCATCCTCGCCTCCCGCAGCGCCAGATCCGCAGAGCAGGGGAACAACGGGAACAGCAGCGACGAAGGTGGTCCCTGCAGCCAGACAGACAGGCATAAATACATACACACACACACAGGAGAACAGTCCCAGGCAGCTGTGGAGGGGGGTTTGTACAGCCAGGACTAAGGCACGGTGCTGGGTTGTGTGGATGATGGGTGGGTTGTGTCTGTTTTCCCCAGCGTTGGTTGCGTGGACAGCTCTTTGCAGTTTTCCCCACCATAGCTGTGGGGTGGAGAAGCCCTTACTTTGTAAAGCTAGTGCTGTTTCATGGCTTTCAAGGAGGTGCCACTGGCTGCTGAGTGTGTTCAGCATGGATTTGATTCCTTTTGCCACCATGTTTTGGCCAAACTGCGCCCAAACGCAGGGAGGGTAAGGAGACGGATAAAAGAGGAGTTATTTCAATGTTAAACTTCAGCTGTAAATCTCATTACTCAGGAATTGAGGTTACTGGCAGCAGGTAAATCTGCAGGACTGGCAGGAAACAAGGCTAAGAAGGGGACATGGCATATTTCTGTAGGACAGCAGTGCTTTTGTGCCACTGTCACTGTGAGCTGTACCTGGGTAACTGCTCCGGGCTCGTTTTCTGCACGGTGCCGCAAAAGGACTGGGGAAAGCTGTGATTTCTCCCTCCTTCTGCCACTCGTGTGTGTGTGGCACCGTGTGAGCTGATTCATTTTCCTGTATCTGGGTTTCCCTGCTCTGGGGAGTGGGGTTTGCTCTGCCTCGGCCCTGGTGCAGCATCGTGACGCAGCGATCGCTACCACGCCGACAAAACACGCGCAGTTTTCTCGGGCGTTCCGGGGACCGTGGCACTCGGGGAAGGAAGGGTAGGATTTCACGTGCCCATAATATAAATTTGAAAGCATTACCTCTTGTTGTCTGCTGGAGAAGGGAGGCTCTGTGAGGGACGAGAGAGCCGTGATCTCCCCCTGCACTTGTTTTGCCGATGGTCATGTTACATCTGTGACGCAGACGAATTTTGCTGTTGGTTCCTGTCGGTGCTTTAGGGAGTGGAGCTGATGGGGGCACAAGCTTGAATATGGTTAGAAACATTCATTTCACATTGATGTTAGAGTTTGAACCACACCTGGAGGGTCAGAGGTATCAGACCCACCCAGTGACCTCCCCAGATGATGAAGGAATTCGGATGAGCCCCAGCACCCCTGGCCATTTTGCTGCTCGCAGAGCAGGCTCGGAGCCTGCAGCGCTGCTGCTGCTGCTGTTCATTTCCATGTTATACAAATACAGCATTGGGCTCTGTGTCAGGAGCTTTCTGGTGCTGTGAGAAGCTTAAAGTCTACAAGCAAATGTTTTTCTTTTCTTATTTGGGAACATTCATTAAAACGTCAAAATGCCAAGTGTTCTACCCTCTCTCCTCCGACAAATCTCTCCCAGACCTATCCAGAAAATTCAGTGCTGCTGCTTAGGATTTTTAAAACTTTATCATGGTGTTTTCTTACAGTTTAATATGGGTATGGCTTGGGGGGAGAGTAAGATTTAATTTGGTTAAATATCTGTAATGCTGATTTTAATGGACGAGGATGAAGGCAAGAGATAGGAGTTGTCCACAGCCTCTTTATCTCTGTTTACAGACAGTCCCAAGCCCAGGCTGTGAGGAAAAAGGGGAATACTCTATCCCATTCCCACCCACCCAAACAATTTCGGTGCAAAGGCAGCAGTAGAAAAGGCCAAGCTGGAATGTCACAAAATGGTTCCACCAGCACTCAGAGATGCCAGTGCCGTTTATCCTGGCTCGGCTCCGAGAGCGGCACCGCGAGCCGCCTGCTGCAAGGTCATTCCCCTGACTCATGGTCAGCAACCAGTTGGTTCAGGAACTCCCAATCTACTTCTCTTGCAACTGTGCCCATGCCTGAACCTGGAGGGGAGGCTTGAGAATTAACATTACTGCAGCAGCGGGGGCACTGAGCCCAAAACTGCAGCTCCAAAAAAATCCCGTGTCTCTGGAAAAATTTTAAAATCCATCATTTGTTTCCTTGCTGGCTCCAGAAACTTTCCACTAGTTCCCTCATCCCCTTTTCCCCCCAAGACTTCCTCTGGACTGCTAGGAATGTGTATTTAAGGACTCACACTCTTTTCTAGGAAGAAAACCTCTGTGAATATTTGCATTTCTGTAGCTATCAGGTGGACTCTGCAGGCTCCCCAGGGCCTCTCAAGCCAGGGCTGTCTCTCAGGTGCTTTCAGTTTCAGATAGCTCAGCCCAGGAGTTGCCTTGTGCCCTCCCAGGTTTCCCCATGTTTCCCTGGTGTTCCTATTTGCCCATCTCACCGGTATTTTCAGCTGTCTCAGGACAAACCCAGCCATGGAAATGCTCTGGGCTGGCTCTGGCTGCCTCAGCTCAGTGGTTAATGCTTCTGAGCAAAAGAACTTATTCAGTCCCCAAAGCTTGGGGCATGTTCTGTGGCCACAGGGAGAGCAGAGCCAGAGCCCCCAGCCCTGGGCAGCCTGACCCTGCTCACCTTCCCCATCATCATCATCATCATCATCATCATCATCATCATCATCGTTCCCTGCTCTCCCAAAGGGACAGAGCCTCCTTCCAATCCCCCTGCCAGTGCCACCTCCTCGCCTGCAGGGAGGCAGATGTGATGGCTCGTCTGCTCAGAACCGAGCCAACACACTGTGATTCAGCCCTCCAGCTTTCCAAGGAAGAGCTATTTCTGCGGGAAGCTCATCTCTCCAGCTCCCCCCACAAACACTCACGGCGCCCAGGAGTCCGACAGCAGCCACTGGGTTTGCATTTGGGAACCCAGCTCAAAGCCTTCCCAAACTTCTTGGACACACAGTGGTGTTCCAGGGATGGGATGATGGAAATCCTGGGAACAGGGACAGACCAGCAGCTCGTGTGCTTGGGGGAGGCAGCCAGGAGTGCTTGGTCAGTGCTTTTTTTCCAGCCTGTTTTGCCAGGTCCTTGTACTGCAGGTAGTGTTAAACCCAAGATTTGTTGGTTTGTCTGGTTTAAAGGCAGGTTATACTTCAGTGAACATCTGGCTGGGTTTGTTTCCTCATGCTCCTCCCTGGCTCAGGACATTCTTTTGTCTCTTGAATGACACAAAAGGAAAATATGGCTTCCCTTGCCATTACCTGGAGGAGCAGGAGCGGTGGTGTTGGGGGAACACCGTGTTCCTGAACTGACTGTACAAATCACAACAATCATCTCCCTGTGAGAGCTTTCCAGCCCTGCAATCAGTACTTTACATTCTAAAGGGATGCTTAGGTACAGGAGTTAGGAACAGAAAATGGCCTTTCAGGTTGCAGCTGCTTAGGTGGATCATTTGTTCGAGTGGAGCGAGTTTTGCAATGCGCTGCTCGCTAAATCTGAGGAGTTTTTGTTCCTACTGCCCTTCCCTGACCTCAGCCACGTAAATGCAGAGCTTTTCTTCCCCTGTGGGAGTTTGCCCAGCTTCACCCCACTGTTCCCTGTGAAATCTGGAACCCCCCATAGGATCCAGAGCTTCAGCAGTTCCTGTGCCCCACAAACAGGCTGGGGCTTGGCCCAGGAACTCTCCTGGGAGCAAAGGTGGAGGAAAACTGGGTGACTCCAGGCAAGTGAGAGCAATTTCAGCCGAGCAGAGGGGGATCACAGGCGGGGGAACCACAGCAGGAATATCTGAGCACACCTCCAATGGTCACCATGCTAAAACAGACACTGCAGAGTGCTCTGACAGAATCCCCCCAACAGGAATTGAAATCAGTGACTCATATCAAGCCTGACCGTCCCACTGCTCACAGTTCAATGGCACACAAAGCTCCACAGGCTTTTACCCCCATCCTGTCCCAGTGCTCAGCCTGCCTTGGGGTTTTGGGGGGTTTCAGACACAGTGTCTGGCTTTTAACTCCATTTGTGCTGCAGCTGTAAGGCTGCCAGAGTAGGACTGAAGGAACAGGCTGTGTTCAATTCAGGATTGTAATGTGGAGTTTTTACTGTGGTCTTAATAAAGGAAAAAAACCAAAAATCTCCCTTATGCTTTAAACTCGTGAAGGAAGTACCAGTTTTTGCTGCCAGTGGCATCTCCAGAGCCATCTCCTAGGCACAAATATCAGTTTTCCTAAGCAGTGCAGCCCCCACCCTGCGTGCCCCCAGGCAATGCTGCTGACACACCGAGGGCTCCAGACCGGCTCCCAGTGCAAGCCAGAGCACATTTGTCCACAGTGACCCACGCAGCACCAGACCTGCACAACAAAGAGATGCAGTTACAGGCTCCCCCACGCTGAGGAGGCTTTTTTTGAAACCTTAGAAGTTCACTCATTTCCATTCCCCTTACAGGTCACCACTTGTACTGTCACACCCCTTGTCCTGCACCTGGCCCTGGGCTGATTCATTCCTTCACTGGGAGGATGATGCATCAAGCTCAGATTCTCAGCATGTAAAACAGGGATTATTTTCTCCAGGGGAGACCAGAGCCTGATGAACCACAACCTTCACCCCGTGATGTGAAAATGGAGGAAAACATTTATGATGCACACTGAGATCTGTTTTGCTTTCTGTAAAAGCCTTTCTATACAGAAGGTGTAGGTTGTGAAAAACCAGGTCTGTGGCATCCAGGCTTGCCTTGCTCCTGCAGACTGAAAGTCTCAGGGTAGAGAGGAAATTCCCTTTCTCGGGGAAGCCAGGGATTCCCTTTTTGTCTTTGTCTCCTATGGAATGTATAAAGCAGTGTGAAGTCCATGAAAGGCTTTGAGTTGCTCCTCTGGAAGAAGCTACAGCAGTGCCACTAAAACATCTGAAAAGGAGGAAAACCACAGAATGACGTTGTACTTTCCCTACTGCTCTTTATTGGGAAGTCCAGACCGCTGTGACAAGGCCGAGAACAGGTGACAGCATTTGCTGGTCTCCACACAGCAAATGTTTGAGACCAGCACTGCTTCCTTCCCTTCCCTGTGAGGGTGGGGAGGGGCTGGGATGGAATTCCCAGGGAAGCTGTGGCTGCCCCTGGATCCCTGGCAGTGCCCAAGGCCAGGCTGGAGCAGCCTGGGACAGCAGGAGATGTCCCTGCCCATGGCAGGGGTGAGCTTTAAGGTCCCTTCCAACCCAAACCATCCTGTGCTCCTGCTTTGTGGATCTCAGCGTCCTGAACTGCTCCTCCCTCCTGCCCAGACACACTGGGAGCCCTGGAAAGGAGAGCACAGACAGATGCACCCTTCCCAAAACCTGCACCCTGCCAAGAAGGGCTGACACCTTCTGGGGAGCTTGTGAAGGCAACAGGACAAACTCCAGGTAGCCTGGAGGAGGGGCAGCAGCATCTTAATTATGCTGAAGTGAAACCCGGTTTTATCAAAACTATAAATAATAAATGAGCCATTGGTCTTCATCTGCTGCATGATATTTCTGGAAAGGCTGGTCTCCTTTGCAGAGGGGAAGATGTGCAGAGGTGTTCAGCCCTTCTGAGTCTCATACTTTGAACACAAGTTCCCATTTTCAGCAGAACAAAATCGAGTGTCATTTCCTCCAACTGTTTTTCAAAACCCTAATGAAGATTTCTGTGTAATGCCTCCTACTTGAGGCAAGGAGAAAGCAGAGCAAAGCTCACTGTGAGCCTGTTTCTCAGCTTCTGGGATCTGTGCTGCACCTGCCTCTCCTCAGCAGCAACTCTTGGTGCAGCTTTTCAGGAGTAATTCTCACCTGATAACAGAGGGTGCCTCACAATAACTGTGCCAGCAAGGCAGGCACTGGGGAGGGAACCTGCTTTCCACTCGTCTTTCACCCTGTTGCCCCAGATAATGGATTTAGAAACGACAGTAAATATCCAGACACAGGAATCTAGTCCAGTTATTCTCCCTTTCCTCCACCCCTCTTTCTTGGAAGGACGAGCTCTTGTCTCTGAGCTTTCCCTCTGCTGCCTGGGAGTGTGCATTAGGATGGAGGCGCTGGAGCAGGGTTTTGGATGTGGTTACAACAGGAATACACAGGGTTGCCAAAAAGCCCAGGCCATCCATAAGTGAAACTGCTGCCTCCAGTTGTGCTTTGTTCCATTTCACATCGGCCTCTGCTCCAGCACAGGTCAGACACTTATCCAAGGGTTGATAGGTCCTGAATTATGCATGTGTGGAGCAGTTCAGAGGCTTCCCAACACCCCCTCCACTCCCTCTGCTCCCAGGTTAAGTGCACTGCTCAGCCCTGCTGCAGTTCCAGGAACCATCAGCCACTCATTTTCACACTCCCCTTCCTCGACAGCTTCCACTGAACCGCTTACACCTCAATTTATCAACCTTTCTGTTCTGACCCACACTCAAAGGACTTGCAATCCAATTTGTTTTCATCCTGCCTGCAGAATTTAAAAGTTGTCTAACAAAAATCTGTGAGTCCTGGCTTATTTAAAGCCCAGGGATTGCTGATAGAGGAAGTTCCATCAGGACACTCACATTTCCTTTCCCTGTCACAAAAAAGCAGCTGATCTGTCCTGTGCTCTCTGATCAGTGACACAAAGCCAGAACTCTCTGTGTCTTGGACAGAATGAGGTTTATAGCCTGGTTTCATCTGCAGTGAAATGGAAAAAAGTGTTCCTGTACCACACAAACTTCCCACACTCACCCCATCAGCATCGTGCTCTGCACTAGCAAGAAATAAAACCTTAATCATCACTTGCTGGGAAGAACTTGAGTGCATTCCACCTGGCTAGGGCAGGAAACAACACTCACTGCCAGGCTGGGGGCTTTCCTCGCCACATAAATTTCATTTCTCCTACACCAGCCACAAAAAAAGCATTATCCATAAAGTAGCTAAGCCCAAGGTAACTGTCTTGCTGTCTAATAAAACTAAATAAATGAATTTTTCTCTAGGTACAGTGGAGATGAAGGATTTTCTCCCTCAGCCTGCAGCCATGCACAAGATGTGTCTTCCTCTGGAAGCTGGTTTCACATGGTGGCTTAGATTTTCCCACTTTGTATCTAGCACCATTTGAAATCAGTGTTCTAGGAGCAAGAATTACAGCGTGGGAGGAGACCAAGCACCTGCTCACTTCAGCAACATCCTCTACTCCTCAAAGCAGCCCCTTTCCCAAAGGTCTTTTTTTGTTTTTGTTTTTTTGTTTTGTATTGCCAGCCATCCACTTTGTAACATCATCTGATTTCTAGAGACTTCTCCAACCACTGTATGCACCCTCCCAAGCCAGGGCCACAGCAGAACAGCCTCCTGCTCGGGTACTTCTGCCTAATAAACAGTGGATATAAGTTCAACTTGTCCAGACTAAAGTGATCCACAAGTTGCATGAAAACCAACGTGGTACTGCTTGTACCTTGACAGGCACCCAAAAACCACGATCAACACTTAATTTCTTGCCTCAGAGCAAAAGGATTTCCACTTTCTGCTTGGGGACTCCATCTCCACAGGATTCTCACTCCATAGCTCTGCAAACAGGAATTCCCTCCAACAATTTCAGCTCAGCAGTCAAACACAGAAGTGCCTCCAGCAATCCCAGAATCCAGACTGGCTGGGGTTGGAAAGGACCTTAAAGATCATCCTGTACCAAGCCCCTGCCATGGGCATCATCAAGATGCCTCACAGCACGCACAGAACCCACTCCTTTCTCCAGCACCATTTTCCAGCACGCACAGAACCCACTCCTTTTTGTAGAATTGCTTTCCAGCTCGCTGTTGGTACCTCCTAGCAATATTTCACTTCTCCAGCCCTGCATCCCAGCCACTAAAACTGAAGCTGAACTCTTTTTTTTTTGCCCTCCCTGATGTCCAGCGTGTTCCCAGACATGGAAAAGCTGATCCTGGTGTGGATGAAGGTTTGATCAGAGCACTGAGTAGTCACCTCTAAAGAATGCATAGCTGTCATCTACAAGAGGATCCTTCTCTGAGCCAGGAAAACATCTCTTACACAGGCTGACCGATTTCTCTTGGTGTTCAGAGTCTCAGTTTTTGTCTAGCACCATTTGAAATCGGTTATGATGTAGGGGGAAAAGCAACAGTAATGGGAAACTTCCTTCCCTCACCCCCCAAGTCACAAACAAACATCCAGAGCATGGCCTGGCCTCCCAAACATGATCCAGAGCACGAGCTGGACTCTCAAACACCATCCAGAATGTGACCTGGCCTCCCAAACACCATCCAGAGCATGGCCTGACCTCTCAAACATCACTGCTTTGCTGTTCCCTGAGCTGAACTCCCCGCACAGGCCAAGCATCCTGCACAAAAAGAGGACAGTCCCTTCAAGTGAGGATGGGATGCTTCCAGACACAGAGGAGCATCTCCTCCTCAAACACAACTCAGCTTCTTCAACTCAAGCAAGGCCAGGGCCTGGGTGTGACAACACAGCCACCCAACCTTCTGAGCACTCCTACTCCATGGGCTGTTTGCTTGCCTTGACCTGCTCTTTACACAGATACTTTATTTTTTCCTTTTAAATAAAATTGTGTGCTCTGTGCTCCTGGGCTCTGTCTCAGGTAGAGAGATCACTTGATTCCCTGCTGGACAACACCCAAGTGCTGCAAGTCTCTTCACTTCAGCCCCCAGCTCCATTCTCACCACCCTCAGAAATATTTAGATTCAGAGAATCAGAATGGTTTGGCTTGGAAGGGACCTTAAAATCATCCAGTTCCAACCCCTGCCATGGGCAGGGTTTAATTTATATTGATTTTAAGTGTGACACCAAGAACCCACCAAGCACTGTCACTTCACATTATTTAACCTTAAACCAGGTAACTCTGGACCTGTTTTGTTATTCCCACTGCCCCTGTTGCCAGCAGATGGCAACACATTTTTATCCATGCAGCCTTCCCCTTAGCACAGAGTTCACATCTCTTTAATTATCATTTCCAGACTCCAGAATGAAATAATTCACGCAGCACTGAGTTTCAGAAAAACAGCACAGGACTCATGACAATTAGGCCAAATTAATTTGTGGTGTTTAAGTCAGATTTGCAGAATCAGAGAGCAGAATCCCAGAATGGTTTGGGTGGGAAGGGACCTTAAAGACCATCCCATGCCATGCCCAGGGGCAGGGACACTTTCCTCTGGAAGCTTTGCTTATCCCAGCAATGCTCACTGCAAACCCAAACTCCACAGTGTAAAGCTGTCTGGCATCATTTCCACACCAACTCACTTGGAGTATCACAATCACAAACTGGAAAAGAAACACGCCATATAAAGTGGTTTTTTTTTTCCTATTCCATCCCCTGAAAGGCTTCAGTCTATCAGGCAGACTCCACACATGGAAATCCAGTACATTTTGAGTGTGAAACTCACACAATTCCTAAATCCACTCCCCTTTCACAGGTCCCCTAAACCCCCCAGAGCTGTATTCCCTAAGGACTGCATTTGTCACACACTGGACAAAAGGGACAAAACATCCTCTGGCCTTTGCTTTAAGTGTTCCACAGAGCAGCCCCAAGATAAACTTCCTCTTCTCCATCAACCAATTTTTTCAGGAGTCAAAATTTTGGAGATTCTGGGAAATTCTCTTCAATTCTAAAAGGAAACCCCAAAAGGTGCTCAGCAAATTAAAACCCATCCCCTACACTACCACTGGGGAATTCCACTGCAAACTTCAATCTCAGCAGTTTCCACCTGATGTTTGGGATATGAAAAATCACCTGGATAGCAACGGGAAAAGAGCTGCTCAGCACAATGATGAATGAAAGACAAACACTTACTGCTAAATAATTTAACATTTTTATTTGGAATATTACAAATCATGGCTAATCTTTACATCCAGAAAGAAGAGTAAAAAAAAGGCCGCTTTTTACAGTGATTTCACTTCCCAACAAAGTACATTCCAGTGTATTTCAGCACATTGCAGATGCCACACAAAGCAAGCTGAGCTCCTGACCACCAGCACACTCAGCCCCAGTCACACATCCCAGTGTTTGCAAACACCTCTCAAACTGAGATATCAGCCAGGCCACCAACAGCAAATCCTCCTGCAGAGCCAAAGCCCCTTTCTAACAACCACAGCCTATTATCAACTCCAACAATGAGACTGCTGGGATTGTCCCAAAAAGCCCTCAACAGTTCTGTGCCACTCCAACAATCTGTTGATGACAGGGAGAGCAGTGCCAAGCAGCCACAGACAAGCCAGAGCAGTTTGAATGCAGCCTCAGGCATCTGAAGTGAGGCTGTTTGGGTTTTCTGTGAAAATCAGAAGCTGCCTGAATGCTGATAATGAGATTCACGAAGCTAAAGACCTGTTCTAGTTATGATTTAGGGTTTGCTGAGGAATTAGAAGTAGCAGTGGGTCTCTGCTAATGATAAGCACCGTGGTGGGAGCTCCTGGAGTCAGAATCTGGACAAAAACATTTGATGAACGAACAGCAAAACAAGAGACCACCACATCTACCAGCACTCAGACAGCTGAACTGGTCTGGTTCGCCTTTAACATGAAAAGTGAGAGACAGGGGAAAGCTCCTGCTTCCAAACAGGAATCTGATGCTAAATCCAGCTTTTCAGAGCTTGATTTAACATCCCAGTCTGCAGCAGAGGTTAGAAATGTGCAATATGTGACTTCAAGTAAAAAAAAAAAAGCAAGGAAGGTGGATCACACAGCACCTGTTTCTATCCTTGAAAGCAACAGAAGATCTCCAGAACTGACATCAAGGCTCACTAAAATCAAGCACCCCAAGGAACTTCCACTGTGCTCATGGCAGGACACAGCCACCACTGAGTTCTCAGCAGTTCCTTTCATCCAGGACCTCCTGTCAACAGGCAGGGGATGCCTTTGCTACAGAATCCTTCAGCTTTCAGTTCCAACAAATCCACTGCAGTCTTTGGGGGATTATAGCAAAGAATCAGAAATATATATATATATATATATATATATGGCTTTTTTCCTTCTTTAAAGCAAAGGAAAAGCTATAAAACTCTGATTTCAAGGCACGCTTTAATTCATTATATACACAGCAACCAGCTTTGGCAGACAAAGAGGTAGAGTATATAAGATCTTAATCATGATAAAAAGACACGGCCTACAAGGGCACCAGATCCTTCGGGGAAGGAGCAACAGCACATCTCAGAAAACAACAGAACCATTTACACCACCTCAACTGCAAAAAGGGACGGGAAGGACAACCAGGTTTGAGGGAGCAGAGCCCTGCAGGAAAGGAGAATATTGGGCATTTTCTGTAAGGCAAGGGGCAGCACTGAAGGCAGCAGGGCTGGGCAGTGAAATTGCAGCATCCCCACAGACTCTGGCATGCTGCAGCTATTGCCTTTCCCAAGCTCACAGAGGGACAACGAGGGCAAAGCAGGATCTGTGGTTATCTATAAGCACACACACTTTTTATCCTATCAAGCATCTCCTCCTCCAGTTCATCAGCAGGGCAAGACACAGCACAAGGAACTCATGGACAGCAACTCAGTGCAAGGGCAATCATCATTTTCCAGCTCTGACAGGGATATTCCACCACAAAGTCCCTCCCAACCCCCCAAAAAAAAGTCAGTCATGGGTTACACATCTTATATTCGGCAGAACTGGGAGTGCTGTCACGTTTCCTACAAACAAAAAAACAAGTCAAATCAGAGGTTTTGCATTGCAAGAGGTTTCACATTTACACTGAAAGCACATCCTTAGTTTTATCATTAAAGCCACAGGTGAAGCCACAAGCTGGGTCGCTCCTCAGCCTCTCTTTACCAAGCAGCTGCTGGGCTGAGGAGATTTCAGCTTCATTCAGCCACTGAAGTGTCAGGAATGACCCAAGGAGCAGCAGAGCCTTTGATCCAAAGGGATCATTTCAAGTCATAACTGATATTACCAAAAAAACGAACACCAGAACAGCTACAGGATTCCTGCAGCACCCTGAAATTCATTTTAATTACAGTGTGTTGCTCAGCACACGTTTTCTAACCAGAGATGAAATATTAGTTTGTGTGGATTTCCATTCTGCAGTCCACTAACAGCAACCTTACAATACTTAAACACACAAGAATTAAAATTCACAATGACACTCTTATGTATGTCCTGTTTTGCTTTAACAAAAAACCCACCCCATACCAAACCTAAGTCTCTAAGGAGTTCCACATTCCACAAGAAAACCTCCAGAATTACCAGTGGTTTGACATACCAAACCAGTAATTTCTTTTATCATGCATAAAGGTAAGATTGGAATGAAGAATTCTGTTCTAGTCTATCTCCTGATTCCGTTTTTCCCTCCAAAACCAAGCAAAATTAACCCAGAAACCAGATCCTATCTGAATTAGAAACATTTTTCTTCAGAGTGAAGATGATATTCCTTAATCTATACATTATTTTGGAATAAACACCGAGATTAATCTTCATATAAAAACTCACCAAAAACACTGAAAATTCACTTTACAAGTCAATAAAATCAAGACTATGCACATGAAAAGACCTTTGCATGAAGCTGGAATAAGAGAACCCATCACCTCTCCGAATGGAGAAAAGCAACCAAAAAAAGACTGATGCTGATTTAAAAGATATTTGTAGTTCCAGCTCTGCTGAGACAGCAACGAAAAAATAGTGGCAAGGAACGGTCAAACTGAGCTGTCCTGTCTGCAAAGTGTTCTGTTCAAACAAGCTTTGAGGAGCCAGGTTTTGGAAGAGCTCATTTGACCCCACACAAGTGCAGGAGGAACCCCAACACTCATCAGGCACCTCAGCAGACTGAGCATTCGGTTAAAATACAGGCAAGGACATCAGCTGCACACAAGCAACTGTATTTTGATCCTTTTCAGGGTTAACAAACTCTGAATCTGAAAAAGAAATCAACTTCTCACAAGAAGGTTTCAAAAGATGTTGTTAGGCCCTTCATTCTTCTCTTTTAGAAAGCAAAAATGCAGATGAATCTTTATTTGTGAGAGATGTGATCTGGTTTTCTCTGAAGGGATGCACAATTACCTTCAGAGTTTCAGTGCCCAGCTTTAAAGGTTTTTAGCTTCTAATAACAGGGAATTAAACTATTAATTAAGAAAAGTAACACACCACTGGGATGAGTGCTGAGTACTGTAGGCAATATGCTACTCGTTCTTCAAACACAACACCAAGAAATGTGATTTACAATCACTGCAACCTCTTACTGACACTGCTAAATCAAAGTTCTTTATATATTCTATCCTGTTTTCCCAAAATGAATGAAAAGTTAGGATACTCTTTCCTACAGGAAGCCAAGGTTCCCAGCTAGATGGATTCCACACTCCTGAAATTCCAAGCAAGCCACAATAAAAAAAAAAAGACACTTAAGCTGCATTGCAAAAAGTCCAAACGAAGTGGAAAATTATACCTTTTCTTTAATTCATTTGTGCAGTTCCTTCCATCTCAGCTGGGACATTAGCTTTTAAAATACAAGTTTCCTTGCAACTCTCATCAACTGTGTACGAGCTGAACAGCAGAGGGGGAGAAAGGGCTGATTGAATGTCCTGTCCAAGTGCAATTTAAACACACAACAAAGAGAGGCCAAGGAAAGATTTGCTGTCATTTTGGAGATGACAAACCAGAGAGGAGCAGGGGCTGGAAGCACAACAGCTCACAAAGGCTCAGCTGCATCAGAACTCAGAATGCTAAACAGGGAGAGGGAGGCCTTAGTAAGAGGAGGTTAGATCAGGGTTTTCAGACAAGAAACAGTCAGATGTTCACAGAGAGGAAGATGAAGGGAAGCACTGGGCACAATAAAGCTTTTCAAGCTGATAGATATTCAGGAATGTCACAGTCATTAATTTTTGATGGTGCTGCTTTAGATCCCTCCTGCTTTCTACACCCTGAGAAGTCTCTCCACGGATGAAGGCAGCAGGAGCTCCTCTCTGCCCCATCCAGGCTGCAGAATATCCAAGTACAGGATAAAAGCAGTGGCTCAAAAGCACCAAATTGCTCAGCAGCACACTCTGGCCTTGGGTTGATACTGCATTGCCTATTTAAAAGACATTAAGGCAAAACCTGACTGGATATAAAAAAACCACCTCCAGGGCTCTCCCAGCTCCTCTCTGTATCCTTCCTTACAAATACGAACCACAGGAATATTCCCTCTGGTTTGCTTCATTTAAAGCATCCCTTCCTTTGTTTCATGCACTGCAGATAAATCCCAAAAGATTCTGGAAAAGGACAATGCTGTTTTGATGAGATGCTTATCCTGACATTCTGTGTGCACCACCTGAGCTGCTCTGGACTGGCAGTGTTTTGCATTTTACAAAAAATTTCTCTGACAAAAAGGGTTATTTTTTTTTTCCAGAAGATAAAATCAGATATCACAGCAAAAATCAATGCACAAAGAGGAATTTAAATCTCCTGCCCCTCCATGAAAAACCACACATAAACAACCACACAGTTGTTTTGAAGACAAAGTTTAAAACACCCTACATGTCTCATCAAAAGCTGAACACTAATTGCTTGCCCACAAATCTAATATTTTACAGTTGATTTTGCAAATCTTTAGCACAGGGACACCAACACTGGGGCTGCAGGAGGAGAAGAAAAACCTGAAAACCTTCTGGCAGCACAAGCCCACAACACAATCAAGACTCCCCCTGGCTTTAGGAGATAAACTGACATGATTGAAACAGATGGACAAAAAAAAACCTTCCTTGGCAAGTGGACACTGCTTAAGAACGGGGTTTTTCCTCCCCTGAAATTAGTGCAAGTGTTAATTAGCAGCTTAGCTGAACAGCAGAACCAAAACCAAAGTTGAATTCAGCTTTAGCTTCTGTCAGCTGCTGGGAGGAGCTCACACAAAATCAGACATTTGAAAAAGAAAGGGCACAAGAAGCTCAAGAAACTTCAAACATCAGCACAGCTTTGGCTCAGTCGTTTGGAAATCTGCAGTGTTGATAAAAAGGAAGTTTTACTCACCCATTTTGTGAGAAGAATTTCTTGTAGATCCAGAAGGCAGCCAGGAGCGCCACAACTACCACAATCACTTCAGGGAGAATTAAAATAAATTAAAAAAAAAGCCTTAGAGTGATAAAGATCATCTCCAGCCCACAAAAAAAGCATCAAAAAACTTTGCAGAAATAGCCTTGTTTTCACCTACAGGTCTATCCCACCTCCACTCCCCCTCCAAAAAATACCCTCACAGCCCAATTTATTTATGGAATGAGCCATGTAAATATTTAATTTACATTTAAATTGATTCTTTACTCAAAACTCTGCAAGATAGCTCAGCTCAGAAGCAGTGACCACCAAGATGGCAAAACCTCACCAGCTCAGAACCACAAAAAACAGGAATGACAAGGCCCTGAGGCTACATTTAACAAGTTTATACAAATCTGGGTAACAAAAGCAAGGACAGAGGATGGACTGAACACTCCTGTTTGCTGGCAGAGTTATTTACTCACACTCTCAGTAATTAAAAAAAAAATAATTAAATTTAAATTTCATTTAAAGTAATTTTAAAAAAGCCCTGAAATTTATCAAAGTGGCCAAGCTGCTGCAAACTGCCTTTGAAATGTGGCCTCACCACATGAGAAAATACACATTTCACACTAAATTAAACTGTAATAGCTAAACAATCTTTTTTTGAATCATGCAGCATGGATTTTCACATAAAAAAAAAAATAATTTGTATTGTATATTTTTTAAGGTTTTAGAAAATACTTACCACAGATGATGGCTATAATATATCCACCTAAAAACAGAAGGAATCAGTGTCACAAGAGGAACAGAGGTGCTTCTTATTCAAACATTATAAAAATATTCACAGACCTATTTCAAGGTACTTCTAGCAACACAATCCTTGAAGCAGATTAATTTAAATAATAAAACATATTTAACTTAGAATATTAACATTTTAATTAATATTTTAAATAATATTTAAATATAAAATGGTGTTTCTGCCCAGTTTTTGAACTGAAGCTGTGAGATAAAAGATTAATTAAGAGCAAAGCATGATTGCCTTAAGTTTATACAGCAGTGATGGTAAAAAGTCTAGGGGTGGAAATTAGTGATTTTTTTTGTTTCCTTTTTGTTAATTTAGTAGTTTTATTGTTTTAAAATACTTGTATATTGAATATAACTGGTAATTTTTAGGCAGGTGTTCACAGGTTGAAGGGGTGGAATGTCCTTTATGATACTGGTATCCCCAAAAGCCTGGTTTATGTTCTATATTAAATTCTGCACTTTTAAGATTAGCTTTGAGAGCGAAGGAAGTTGAAACTGATGGAGGCTGATGGGAGTTTTTCCTCCTGGCCAGTAACAAAAACCCTATTTTCCACATCAAAATAAAGAAGGAAGCTGCACTAAACTATTTCTCCTTAATACCAAAGGACTGAGAGCTAAGGCAGCTGAAACTGCTGGAAGCTGATGGGAGTTTTTCCTCCTGGCCAATAACAAAAACCCTATTTTCCACATCAAAATAAAGAAGGAAGCTGCACCAAACTACTTCTCCTGATTACCAAAAGGGTGTATTTTCATGCTGGTGGGAGTTTTTGCAGCCTGCACTTACTGAGCTGGCAGCTTGGCACTGCTGGCACCCACTGGTTGTCTCCAGTGTACTGAATCCGAGGCTCCCCCTGCAAGGTGTACCCCGTGTAACACTCGATGGTGATGAAATCTCCCACAGAATAGGAAGATTTTTCTCCAGCTGCCACTCTCCCATAATTTATGACTGGTGTGGAACCGGAGCCTTTAGGCTCGCCTGGAAAGAAAAGGGTGGGGAGGAAAAAAAAAAAACTGTTACAAAAAAATCATTAAAAAAATAAAATTTCATTTAAAAAAATCGTTTAAAAATAATTTTAAAAATCATAAAAAATAATTTTAAAAAATCATAAAAAAAAATTGAAGAATCATTGAAGAATCATTGAAGAATCATTGAAGAATCATTGAAGAATCATTGAAGAATCATAAATAAATAAAAAAATCATTAAAAAAATCAAAAATCATAAAAGAATCATAAAAATCATAAAATAAGCATAAAAAAATCTTAAAAGAACCATTAAAAATCATTAGAAATCATTAGTATTCATAAAAATTATAAAATAATCAAAAAAATAATAAAAATAATAAAATAATCACAAAATATCATAAAGAAATAAAGAAATCATAACGAAATCAAAGAAATCATAAAGAAATCATAAAGAAATCATAAAGAAATCATAAAGAAATCATAAAGAAATCATAAAGAAATCATAAATAATCGAAGTATTGTTAACAATCATTAAATAAATCATTAACAATCATTAAAAGATCATAAATAAATGTATTACTACATCAGACATTTCAAACTTGCCAGTCTGCTCCTGATTTTAGCGATTTCACTCACAGGCACAGTGCTGTAAAGCACCCCAGGACCTCTGCTCTCCACAGGTCACTGTCACCTCTGCAGAGCCATCAGGGAAGGAGCAGCCAGGGTTGCACCGGATCTGCACGGACTCTCCTTTGTTATAGTCAGCCTTGACTGGAACCAGAAGCCCATTGGGGACCTCTGGGGCAGGACACACCTCTGCAGGAGCTGCCACAAGAACTTGGAACAAGTTTAGTGAGAATGCAGTTCACTTCATAATTCAGCAACTCATTCCACAAATACAACTTGATTTCGTGTAAGAAAAATAGCTCAGCACATGTCAGAAGTTTAACTTTACCCCAAATTTAAATACAAATATTCCCTGCAGAAAATTTAAAACATCACAAAAATGATCATAATCATCATAAAAATGAATAAATGTAGGTATTCATTAAGGTAACACGAGTCTATAATGAGGCAGCTCAGAAATCCAAGCTGGTTCATTACTCCTCCGAGCTCTAG